AACTGTAGCTTTTGTAAAACTTGCAACGAATTTACTAGAATAGAATAATCCTTTAATTGTCCCACAAGGGGAAATTTGGTTGTAACAGCAGCCAGAAAGACACAGGACAGAAACATACATGATTTTTCTTACATATTTACATTAAGGACAGTGGTTACTATAAACAGAGTACTGTACAGTTATTAAATTAAATAAAAAATAACTACAGATAAGAGGCAAACTCAGGTTGTTGTGCGAACCGGTTGATTAAATTATTGCAGTTACAGCGCAGATGTAAACATCTGTTTGTTGGGAGCAGTTCTGATTGTACAGTCTGACAGCTGCAGGGAGGAAGGACCTGCGGAAACGCTCCTTCATGCATCGAGGATGCAGCAGTCTGTCACTGAAGCAGCTCTGCAGCAACATCTGCATGCATGGGGTGGGAGACTCTGTCCATCAGAGATGTTATTTTGGCCACAGTCCTTCTGTCTCCACCACCTGCACTGGGTCCAGGGTGCATCCCAGAACAGAGCTGGCCTTCCTGATGTGGTTATCCAACCTCTTCGTCTCAGCTGCTGATAAACTGCTGCTCCAACATACCACACTGTAAAAAATGACAGATGCCACCACAGAGTCATAGAAGGTCTTTAAAAGCGCTCCCTGGACTCCAAATGACCTCAGCCGCCTCAGCAGGTAGCGTCTGCTCTGACCCTTCCTGTACAGAGCATCAGTGTTGTGGCTCCAGTCCAGTTTATTACTCAGGTGAACACCCAGGTACCTATAGGAGTCCACTATCTCAATGTCCACTCCCTGGATGTTCACCGGTGTCAGTGTGGTGGGTCTGCGTCTCCAGAAGTCCACCACCAACTCCTTGGTTTTCCAGCTCCTTGGTTTTCCCGGCGTTGATCAGCAGGTGGTTCTGCTGACACCAGTCCACAAAGTCCAGAGTCCACTGTCTGCACTCTGAGTCGTCTTCACCTGTGATGAGGCGACTATGGCAGAGTCGTCAGAGAACTTCTGTAGGTGGCAGCGTGGGGAGTTGATGGAGAAGTCTGCAGTGTAGAGGGTGAAGAGGAACGGTGCCAGCACAGTGTGGGGCCCCCGTACTGCAGACCAGCGTGTCAGACACAGCCCTGTGACCTCACATACTGTGGGCGTCCTGTGAGGTAGTCCAGTATCCACTGGGACATGTGGTGGTCCCCTCCTGATAGCTCCAGCTTGTCCCTCAGAAGTCGTGGCTGGATGGTGTTGAAAGCACTGGAGAAATCAAAGAACATGATCCTCACAGAGCTTCCAGGCTTCTCCAGGTGAGTCAGAGCTCGGTGCAGGAGGTCGTCCTCCACCCCGATGCCAGGCTGATGGCATCTGGCATCTACTACACATCTGTTTTGGTTTTGTAACCTGGTGCAAGACTTTTGGCAGAGTTTATGTGTTTTTATCTCAGAAAATGTATTTAAAGGATTTGTACTGTTTTGGAAATATGTATCATTTGGTCTCCACATAAACCAAAGACAATGCAACACTGATAACAGATATGTGATTAACTTGTTAATCTTAATGGCTAAATTTCATATTCACAAATCCAAATGTTTAGGAAGACCTTCCTCTTTTTATGTATTCTTCTACGAGCTCGTGCAATATCTTAATTCAATTAAGAACTCTACTAACCCAAAAGCTATAAAAACTATGGTTGAATGTGAAAAAATGAAGATCCTTCAATCACTTTATTCTTTGCTTAATCAATTAAACTTCTCCCCCTAGCATATGTATATTGTAGGTTCTGAATATTGTTTATTCATTTGTTTGTTTATGGTATACATTTTTTGTAAGTGCAGCACCTTTAATGTAGTACTGTTTAATTCTACTTTATTTAAACATCAGTACAATACAAAGGGTTGAAGAAAGAAAAAAACAAACTTCAAATTTGGAGGACAGCCGTCGTCGCGTCGCTGTGACGTAATCGGTCTCAAAACGCGTACTGTGCGGTCGCTGGATTGGGACGCAGGCGCAGACAGGAGGCGCTGCTCTGACTCGTACATGGGGCTGTGCTGCCCCCACGAGGACAGACGGTGCTCTCACAGTTCAGGACAGAGAGTCTGTATCATGTTCGTACTGAAGAGTGAAAGCTGTTCAAGTCTTCCAGCTGTTATTGAGACAACATAAGTGTGTGTTTCCATTAGACAGTGAGGCTGGATGAGGTAAATACCTGCAATCATCCAGCAAAGCAATGGGCAGCGCACAAGAGAGAAGAAGGCATGAAGTAATGAACTTCAGCAGTCCAGCTGGACGTGAACTTTCAATCAATCTCCAAAGGTTGATTCTGTTCATCTGGACGTTTTCAGTAGGAGAAACGTTTCGTGACTCCTTCAGTCTCAGCTGACTGCAGGTTTCAACCTTATAAACAGGACATTTGACTGAAACCAGCCACTGAGGAACAATGGGCTGGGAGGGCAGTTCCTTCATCATGATTATGCAAATTCTCACTCTCAAATTCTCACCCTCGGTAACATCCCTGATAAAAAGACAGAAAAGTCTTGAATAAAATGTTAAACTTCGGAGGACGATAAACAAGTGCACACAGCACAGGTGAATGCAGATCCAACAGAAATAATCATAGTTCAAAGCTGCCATAAATATCAACGTTGAGCTGTCGGCATTTAAAACAGTTTTTAAAAACAGTTGCAAGACCTCCGCCGTGACCAGTTTCCTGTGGGGAGTTAGAGGGGACGAGTTCAGAGAAGGGCTTAAATCACCAGGATTAAGCCAAGTTTCAGTCACAAATAAGAAAACGTTAACCTGTCCTATATTACTCCGTAGTCACAGTTTCTCTCCACAGACTGCTGTCAGCCATGACACAGGTTGTTCCTCCGATTCTCTCCGTCACTCCGAGGGGGGCTCTGGTTGACGAGAAGTTTAAAGTGTTGGTCGAGAATCTTCCTCCAGGATGTCTGGTAACCGTCCGCTCCCTCCAAGAACAATTCAACTTTATTTACACAGCACCAAATCACAACAACAGTCACTTCAGGGCGCTTTATATTGTAAGGTAGAGCCTATTATACATACAGAGAAAAACCCAACAGTCATGTGACCCCCTATGAGCAGCACTTTGGCAACAGTGGGAAGGAAAAACTCACTTTTAACAGGAAGAAACCTCCAGCAGAACCAGGCTCAGGGAGGGGCGGGGCCATCTGCTGTGATTGGTTGGGGAGAGAGCAGGAAGACAGGATTAAGACATGCTGTGGAAGAGAGACGGGGGGCTGCATCTGGGACGCTGCAAACTTGTGATTGCGCCTCCGGCCGGATAAGATGGAGCCTGATTATTTAAGACCTTGTATGTGAGGAGCAGGATTTTGAATTCTGGATTTAACAGGAAGCCAAAACAGGAGAAATCTGCTCTCTTTCTAGTCCCTGTCAGGACTCTTGCTGCAGTATTTTGGATCAGCTGAAGGCTTTTCAGGGAGTTTTTAGGACTTCCTGATAATAATGAATTACAGTCGTCCAGCCTGGAAGTAATAAATGCATGAACTAGTTTTTCAGCATCACTCTGAGACAGGATATTTCTAACTTTAGAGATGTTGCACAAATGGAAGAAAGCAGTCTGACATATTTGTTTAATATGTGTGTTGAAGGACATGTTCTGGTCAAAAATGACTCCAAGGTTCCTCACAGTGTTACTGGAGGCCAAGGTAATGCCATCCAGAGTAAGAATCTGGTTAGATACCATATTTCTAGGCTTTTCAGGGCCGAGTACAATAACCTGAATAACTGACTGAGAGCACACCAGGTGAGTTAGTCTTATTATAGTAACGCAGACACATGTGAGTCTGCAGCTGTCCTGATCCTTGTCTCCGTTCACCTGCCTGACCTGTGGAGGGCAGCAACACGCAAACCTAACAGAAGTTAGGTTGGGGCAATCTGCCCCAAACAAGTTGGGGCAACGACATCAGCAGAGAGAGGTTCACTGGTCGCATTTGTATATGCGGTTAATGCCATTGGCAACACAATTCCTCCACTGTTTGTGTTCCCACACATACATTATGCAGACCTCTGTGTCAGAGATGGACCAGTAGGAAGTACTGGTAGTGGAAATAAATCAGGATGGGTGCAAGAAACAGATTCCCTCATCTTTCTGAAGCAAACCACACCAAGGTAAGCCAGGATAAAAAGTAATGGAATTGCGATGCTGGTGAACAACTACATTTTTTCAGCTTCATTGTTATGTTCAAAATTGGTGCAAGAGTTGTAGGTTATAATGCCCACTGAGCCAATGAGGCCAAACTCAAGGAAGACCAACCAAAATTAATGAAATATTCAGTTGCAGAAAATTCCATAATTTGTCTTTTTTGGGGGGTTGGAATATGTTCAAAGTTAGATGTCTGCATTCTGTCACACACACGGCTACATAAATGGATCTCTGCACAACTCCTCCATCTAATGCGCAGCACACAGTGCAGCAGTCGCAGCCTGCAGCACGTCCTCCACAGTGGAAATAACAGTTTCTCTGTAATCATCTGGATGCTTATAATTGATATATTTCTTTGTAAGTTTGTAATAAACTGTATTGTTTTATTAGTTCTGTGTGTTACTGTGTTTATTGGAGTGACTGTGACCACAACACTTCCTCTGGGATGACTAAACATTCTGGTGGGGATAAAGGAAGCGTCGGTGACGTGTCCGTGACACAGCAGCAGCTGTCACCTGTTTTCAGCGTGGGCAGATCTGAACTCTGATCTCGTCTGATGTTTACAGAAAGGCCTGATTCTGTCAGTCGTTTAACATGATGTGACTGTTGCTCATTCTCAGCCAATCATCACCTTTCCCTGGAAACTCGGCTGATGGGTTTTGTACGGATTATTAACCCTCGGCCAGGATGCAAGGCTGCATTAAAGCTTGCTGATTAGAGGCGTGGCCTCTTTGACTGACGGGTGGATGCGACGCTGGCGGCTGCAGCTGCCCGCGGCCTGCCTGAACAGAACGATATTACAGCATTATAGCGAAGGAGCGATCCAGACGAACGACTCTGTGTTTTTAATCCTTTTAATCTCAGTTCTGTGAAACATCAATAATAAAACTTTTCCACGTTCGTGCTGCTGTCAGGATCCCGCTGCACACAAACATATTAACACAAAACCCGAGGGCAGTCCAGGAAGTAGATCCTGCGTGATCGGCGCCTGATGGACGTGGCTAACGTCTGGAGCTACAGCAGCTTCTGCTTCTTGCGAGCCTGAAACTGCTGCGTTTTGCTTTTGATGGATCTGACGAGCAGCGACAGACTCGGGTCCATCTGCGTCGTTGTCGCCCGAGCGTCAGACTCTGCTTCCCGACTTTTCCTGTCGCTCTCCGCCTGCGTGGGCGTGACCTCCTGAGCGCCCTCCAGGCGCCGCTGCTGCTCCTCCCGCCGGCGCTGCTTCTCGGCTACGATGCTCTGCGTGGCTTTGGTCTTCTTGTAGCTGGGGTGGGAGGGGTCCAGGTTGAAGAGATGGGAGGTGAACATGGCCTGGAAACGAGGGTCTTTAACGTCCACCTGCAGAGAGGGAGAGACGGGACATTTAGCTCCAGGTGTATCGTAAGGTCAGTTTCACGCACACCTGAGCCTGGATTGGCCCAGACGGGTCTGAAGGTCAGCGCCATCGTTTCCCACTGCGGTCACATCATGTGACCTGCTGCCATCAGCCAAACGATGCAGACCAACCAATCCTGCACAAACAGACTGAGGAGCGGCCGTTTGCCCCGAGCGTGACCTCCATCACCCCCACCCACCCAATGCTACATGCAGAATAACTCCATCACTGCACTCAAACTTAATCACTAAGGTTAATCATTTATTTATGATTAACCACGCCCCCTCCCGCCACAACAGTAGGCCAAACGAAGCGCAAGGAGCGTCAGCTACAGTGGGGCAAAAAAGTATTTAGTCAGCCACCGATTGTGCAAGTTCCCCCACCTAAAATGATGACAGAGGTCAGTAATTTGCACCAGAGGTACACTTCAACTGTGAGAGACAGAATGTGAAAAAAAAATCCATGAATCCACATGGTAGGATTTGTAAAGAATTTATTCGTAAATCAGGGTGGAAAATAAGTATTTGGTCAATAACAAAA